ATGTAATTTGGTCATTAAAATTATTCTTTTCAAACACACTTTCTAAACAGTTTTCAAGTTTGCTTTACAAGGGGAGTTAAAGCCTCGATAAAAAAAACAACTTTAAAAGTCTGTATTACAAACACATACTTTTATTAAATCTTTGTAATATATCAATCAATCCTTGAGTAAAGCAACACTCTTTAGCCTAGCCTTTTAATTGTAAGAAGATGCACAACCGAGCGGCTTCTACCTTTAACTGTAATCATGCGGCTTCTACCTGTAACTGTAAGGTATAGTTCATAGAACTTTTTGAACCCAACTTTTTATTCATGACAAACTTTCTTTAACTCTGGAAAAAGCTAAATAAAACATAAAATCACATAAAAATAATTACATAAAAGCAAATTTTTTTTAAATTTAGTTTTAATTAATTGATGTTAAATTAGTTATAATCAATTAAGTAACATTATGACTTTGTTCATATACATGCTACTATCATATTAGTTAGAAATATTTATCTATCCTAATGATTGTGAAAACCGTATAAATGCTTCTAAAATCTTACAAAGGAAATCTTTCTTGTTCAAAGTCGTTAAGATTAATTTTCAGGAATTTTTCCGGAATAAATATTTGTACCTATGAGTCGATGTAATTTTAGAATTTAAATACGCATTTGATTCAATACTTTTAAGAAATATATTATGGTTTTGGTGGAACATGTAGTTATATGAAGGTGAAATTTTGTTCCTAGAGTTCAAGGGTTTATTAAGTGTTGAATATACATATATATGAAAAAAAAAGTCTTCAAATGACTTTTTTTTTCATATATTTATATATTCTACACTTCTTTACCTCTATCTAGAATCTGTATTCGTATCTCTTTGAAATTATTCGTTTGCATATAGATAAATTTTTCTAATTAATATGATATTAGCATGTATATGATCAAAGTTGTAAAACTTTTAATATTTAGTAACATTCATACAAATTTATATTATATGTTTTGTAGCCATGTACATGATCAGAAATGAATTGTGATGAGCGCCTCACTCTTTTATGTGCAGTGGATAGTGGTTCACCTGAAATCATAGAAAATTTTTATTTCTTACTATTGGGCGCAAAAGCGTGTTTTTAAAAATCTTTTTTTTTAAATATGTTTTTATTTTATTATTTTTAGTTCAAATAAAATGTAAATAAAAGCGTGTCCTTTTTAATAAAATCTTTTTTTTAGAGTATTTTATTTTCTACTTTTTATTCTCAAAATTTTTTAAATCGATTTTTTGACCTATCAATTTAATTTAATTAGTTAAAATTCATTGTCAATAACTAAAATTAGATAGTTGTAAAAAGATAGATTATTTAATCTATCTTTGGACTTTTTAGAGTGCGATCCGAGAGCACTATATCGTTTAAAATTATTAGTTGTCAAGTAATTAAATAGTCATTTTTTTAATCGTCTGCTATGGATCTTAGTCTTTCCATTTTTTTTCAAAGCTTTCTAATTACAAAAATTCTTGCCTGTTAACTTCTAACAATTCAAGTTTTTCTTTTAACTGATTTCTTTTAATTTTTTGTGAGTAAAGAACCGCCATTATTGGAAATTTCTTTTGTGCAGTTGATATTGTTGAAATGGACAATGTTTTCCTCTCTTGCTAACTAGTTTTGCATTAATTTATTCACAAATGCATTCTTATTATGCATGTCCACTAAATCTTCTTACTTGTATTGTATTTGGTAAGAATTTTGGTTCAGCTGAGAAACAGATAATTCTAGTTTTGAATTTTAACGTTCACTTTGAACTTACCACTTGTATATTGAATATTTGTCTTTGCTAAAATATGCGTTTTGGATATTTACATTCAAAAAGTTTATTTTAATTGTATATTAATTACACTTTTAGCATCTGAAAATGATTAAAGGTTGTGTTGCCATTGTAACTAAACATGTCTGGAAAGTATCAGAATAATTGGAATAGTAGGAGTGATCGAAAAATTGGTTACAAGATTTGACGCATTCAGAAAGATATTCTTTGTCATGAATGACATCTTTTAATAATTACAATGTACAAAATTTTTTTTACTAATTTAAAGGCATTGTATTTAAGAGAATCAAAATTTGGTAATGGATTTTGTATTTGGAATGTTGATTAAGTAGCTACTACCACTGCACAAAAATGTCATCATTATTAAAAAAGAGATCAAGCAGGTTAACTCTGTGACAAGTGGAGAACGTAGAACTTTGGTGACAAGCTATTTTTTAAGTGTTTCAGGTGCTACTATTCTACGTGCAGTGACATTTCCAAGAGTTTAAGCAAAGTATTCTTAATAATGCACCATCTGTATGAGGCCCGTCTTTACACATGTTCAGCCTAGGCAGCCGCTGCGGGGCCAGGGCATTTAGAGAGGCCAGCAAGGAACCAAATTTTTTTCTAATAAATTTTAATAATAAAAGTAAAAGTGCAACGGCACTTTTTTTAATTATTTAAAATGTTTTTTATTTGCTAAAACAACAATAACACCTAAATAAATAACTTTTTAATTTTTTTTCGCTAAGATTACCCACTGATTGAATTAGAAAAAAGTTCACTTTTCACAATTTTTTTATACATTATACTTTTCGGATTTAATGTATTTTGACAATAAGAAAAGTTTACGAGATTAAGCAAGTACAAATATATAAATATATGGTGTAAGAAAAAAAAAACGTTTTATTTTGATATAAGCATTTATACAGCAAAAGTGCTCGATGAATGATATCAGAGTTATATAATTGATTTTTGACGAGATAAAATAAAATATAACTACATAATTTTTACTACTAAACGTTTCATGCGTTTAGCAATCATCAGGTAAAAATACATTATTTTCTTTTTAAATTAACTCCTAATAAACATCGTGACGTTCAAAAACAATTATAAATTGTTACTATTTGCAAGCGTGGTTTGGTTTTTTAATGTTTGGGCTCGTGGTTGTCAAGCTCGTGGTTGTCCTATATAACAAGACTCCGATAAGCACTTGTTAAATAGTTTTGAAAGTATAGATGATATCTCTGTAGAACACTTCTGCAAGACTACAATAGGTGTGTTGTCTGGACCACAAGCTGTAAAATAGTCTAAACAGGAAATCACTTTAGATGTAGAAGCTGGAGTGATACGAATGTCAAGTAATGGTTCAACCTGTTTGATGGCTATATATCAGGTAAAACGCAACTAGTAGAACCATGAGATGATATTGATGATAAGTTTATAGCAAACAGTTCAGCTTTGTTTTAAGGTGAGGTGACAAAGTCTAGACCATGCAAGAGAGGTGGAATAACAGATTTGCCCTTATTGTTTATACTGTTTAAGATTCTCCAGAAGTCACGAGAGACTAATTTTTGTGATGAAATACGTGTCTTTATGACTTAAGAATAACGGGCTTAGGCGTTAGACAGAACCTTCTTATGCTGATAGATATGGAAGTAACGGTTTCAATTGGCAATTGCAGCAGCACAATGTGAGGAAAACCATGAAGAAGAGTTGACTTTGAATTGTTGAGAGGGAATAAAAGATAATATGCCAGCCTAATTTCAGGACGTTGTAAAGTAAGAAGCACATTTGTCAGTAGGAAGACGAAAGATTTCTACCGAAGGGCCATTACAAAAAAAATTCACGGAAAGAGTCCCAGTCAGCTTTAAAGGTAGTTGTAAGAGGTACGATGATAAGGGGATTCTGATAATGAAGAAGAATGAGATAATATTTTTGAAAGATCAAACTGTGATCAGAAGCACCTAAGGGTGAATGTGAAGAAACTGAGCACTGACTAGGATCAGAAACAAGACATAGGTTGAGTAGAGAAGGTAAATAATTCGGGTTGTCTGGAAAGCGAGTTGGAAAATTGACTATTTGAGTTAGAAATTAAAAAAAGCAAAAGTTGAGGGTCTTAACGCCAGCAGAGTCACTGACACTAGAGTCGAGCCATTCAGTGTGATGAGCATTAAAGTCACCAACAACAACAATCTTGGCTGATGAATAAAGAGAGAGGGCTTGGTCAATTTGATCAGAAATGACATCAAAAAGAGTGCAGTCTTGAGATGAAGGAGAGAGATATTGAACAAAGACAAAAACGATAGATAATTTTTGTGTTTTATATCTTTTGGTATTTAAGTCATTTTGAATTTTTTAAAGAACTTGACTCATAGCATAGATATTAGTCAATACACTATTTAATAGTCGAAGCATTGGACTAGTAAATAGTGTTGGACATTACAATTAATAAATTTTAAGCCATAACAAAGGGCTCCAATGCACACAAGAAGTACAAACAGGGACACCATCCATGCCTCGACAATGCACACAAGAAGTACAAACAGGGATACCATCCATGCGCAACATGGCACTGTTAGTACTCTAATATATTTCAGTTGTTGATGGAATCAGCTACCACAGAGTTCAGGAAACCTGACAACCAGCCGGCCTCAGAACTATAAAACTGAGAGCTAGTGCTGTACTTTCATTAGGAGATAATAGAATGAGTTGCCTCAGTGACGGATTAAGACTTCTTGGGGCCCGGGGCTATTTTTGTTTTTGGAGGCCTTTTTATTGGCCAGAGCCTAAAAATTACTTAAAAAAAAAAAAAAAGGTCCTCTTAAATTTTTGGGGGCCCTAAATTTGCGGGGCCCGGGGCTATATCCCCCCTATTCCCTTGATCTGCCTAGTCATAAAAACAGAGACGCAAGTAAAACCCATGCATTGAGTCAATAAAAACGAGTATTCTACATCTTAAACTGAAAACAATGTATTAAAAATACAACTGCGCGAGCCTAATAGATGATTTATTAACAATGTAAAAATGATTTATAAACTATGTAATTGAGGTCCCTAAATAAATAGAAATTTTAGTGTCTTATTTGATTAACAATCAATCTATGATTTTATTGTAGTTAAAAATATATAACTACATAGAAATCTTATATTGCTAATTTTATCTTGACAGAAAATTATGACTAGCGTTTCCGATTGTTTCACGTGTAACCCAAAACACCAATTTCCGTATATTGTAAAAGCATTTTAGATCATTTCGGGCACTGTAACTTCTTTTTTTGCATAAAATCTATCGTTAAGTACATATTGAAATGAGCTCAGTAATTCGAAAAGTTATTTACTCTGCAAAAGCACCCAAGGCTATTGGACCTTACAGGTTTATTGTATTATTCATTGTTTTTTACTATTCATTTAATGTCTATATTACTCATTAACTCATTAAATATTTATCATTCAATTCAGTATGCATTAAGCTATATGAGCTTGTACATGATTAATTAATTATATAAGCTCAATAAATGTTATAGAATAAATTAAATAATTTAAGAAAAATAAAATAATTTCCGTGAAATCAAACGCGGTGATAGTTAGTCGTGATGTGTGAGGATGAATGTCCAAAAACATTTGTCAGAGTAGGGCATTTTAATAAAACAAAACAGACCAGAGAGTATAAACAAGATCTAGAGAGTATAAACAATTTTTTATGTTATTGTACCTTAATTAATTTTTAATATGTAATTAATAATGAAAGCCTTGTTGTTCAATAGCTATGGTCATTGACGCATGTAACTTTAATGTATTTTTTATTTTGTTTTAATTAACAGTTTAATAAGGATTAACAAAATATCAATATAAAAAGTGGTAGTCACTAAAAGTAACTATAACCTTTACCAGTGGTGTCTAACAATATGTACTACAATTTAAAATTCATAGCTTTACAAAAAATTCACATGGTGTTTAAAGGTTGCTTTACAAAGTATCTTATGATATAAGATATTTTGTATAGCAACCTTTGATCATAAAGAGATTTTTGATGAATTTGAAATCTTTTAATAATAAAAATGTTTTATTTTTTCTGAAGTAAAATTAAGAATTTTAATTAATACTAAATTTTTATTTATACTTATTGTTTTCTAATTACACAGAGTTAATTTAATTAATGGTAAAATATTATAAAAAATTAAAAATATAATTCAATTAATTTTTATATGTTTTCTAATTTCAAGTAGACTGTTTCATTAACTCCAAATGTATACTAGAATAATTTAATAAATGCATGCTTTATTAATTTATTCCTAGAAAAATAAAGGTGGTATTTGCAGTTGGATTCCACATTTTGGTTGGATTGTATTAAAAACTTTATTTTCTTGACCAACTCTTAGATAAAATTTTTATCAAACCTTCACATAGCTTTTTTTTTTTTTTTTTTTCTTTTGAAGAAATGTTTTTTCTAGAAAATACTTGAAAATAAAGAAAATACTAAAAAAAACAAGAAAACTTTTGTCAGGCTGTAAATTATATTATCCAGAAAAACGCAGACAGGACAAAATTTCAAAGTAATTATGTTTGTGTAAAAAGCTAGATGACTAAATAGTTTTAAAACATTTATAGTAAAAAAATGAGTCTTTCCTGAAAAAAAATGGCACAAATATAAGTTTTGATAAGTGAAAAAAGAGGTAACTCACTTTGCCAGCAACTTGTTGTTGAATTAAGCTAAGATATTAGTACTTTTATTCTTATAAGACTTGAATATATAGACCTTGTGAACAGTATTACTTTTGCATGCTTAATACAATGGGGGGGGGGAATTCAGCCCAGATCTAATGAACAGGGAGGGGATCTTAGTAAAATGGAAGGGGTCTTAATGAAAGAGTGGGCGGGAAAATTTTACAGAAAACATTAAAAAAATAATTCCAGTGTGGCTTCCGTCAAAGGAACCTTTTTTTAACAGCTGTTTCATAATTTCAATAGGATTTAGTATGCTTATATAGGTTTTATACTATGGTCAGAAATAAGCAAAAACCTAACTTTTGACAAATGAAGACTTCAAAATATTTTAAATGTTCACAATTCTTAAAGCCTGATTACACTGAAAGTTTTTATTTTTATCAGTGATTAATATAATTTTTTTTTTAGTTTTGATATGTTTTTTGTTGATAACAAGTAAATATTAATTAACAGGGGTTTCCTAATAACTTTAGGGTTGGTGAAAAAATGTCTTCTAAGTGTATGGAAGGCTGTTTAGACAAAAGTAATATTAATAAGGCTGTTCTGATGAAGTAAGGCAAAAGCGGAAAAATGAAAGCTATCTTAAGATTGTCTTCCTCTTTTATTTTTATTACTTTTTTTCTTACATTATCTTCAAATTGTTTATGACAATAATTTTTGCCTCATTAGCTACTTTTGGACAAGGCCCTGCATTCCTTCTAACATAAGCAATATGCTGTTTAAATCTTATTCCTTCTTTATCAACTTTTCTATGAAATCTGCAACTGTTTGTCAATCTGTCAAATACACATATTTCCATCTTTCATCAGTCAAACCAGGGGGGGGGGGGTTAATTAAAACATTAACAATTTAACACTAATGCATACATTATAAGGACTATACTTTATAAGAACTCATATATTATAAAATTATATTATTTTAATATAATTTAAAATTAATTTAAGTTGAAAAAAAAAAAAAATTTAAATAATTTGTGTATATATTTTCCCTATATAAATACATTTACGTAATGCATGCATATATTTTTATATATAACTTTTTTTATTATATAATTATATTTGTTTGTTCATTAGTATACACACGTTTATCTTACTTAGATAAGACGCATACTTTGTATACACAATGTCCGTGGTTTGAATCCTGCCACTATCCAATTTTTTTAATGTTTTTCTTTAAAATGCTGCTGGTCATGTATTTGCTTTGATACCATATTTACTTTTTTGTATATAAAAAATCTTTTTAGTTGTATATTTTCACTTATTTTTGTTATCAGATTTTTATATCATTTAAGCGCTTATATGTATTTCCTAAGTGAGCTTCAATTAGGCCATGCTGTCTACACATTTTTCACATGGTCTCAATTGTTTCATATTACCTTTCTATTCTTGTACATTTTTTATCCTTAATCTTTTAGCCCTTTGTAAATTTGGATACCAGTTGCTTTTTAACATTCAGCTTTGTGCGTTTACCTCTACTCGTACACTCCCTTTTGGTCTACTATGTTATTGGTAAATAATTATTAATAATTGTTATGCAATTATTAATAATTGTTTACATATATTTTACCAGTAATTTGGAAGACCAAAAGGAAGTGAACAGGTAAAAGATCAAAAATAATTTAGGATTTGGCGAGATCGGAACCACAAACATTCCATATACGAAATCTCTTATCCAAATAAATAAATAAATGTATGCTTACTAATGAACAAATAAATATAATTATATAATAAAAAAAAATTTATACATAAAAATATATGCATGCATTACATAAATGTAAGTATGGGATAATATATACTTGTTACATTAAAGTTATACCAATATTTTTTACAAACAGATAGCAATTTATTTTTTTGCTTTCCTCTATAAAAAAACAACAAATAAAATAAAAGAAAATCATTCTTTCTCTCAGATCCTCTTGAGTTATTTGGATATATTATAACAAATGAACTTTGTGAGTCATCTCAAGCTTTCTGCGCCCTTGAGGTAACTCCAAGAAGGTTTCATTGATTCTGAAAGATTTTTAAAATCACAAGGATGTAGAAGAAGCAAGATCACTGAGGTTCATTATCGTTTCTTCTCTTTTTTTCGGAACCAACCAACAACTAATTTGACCCATATTCTTCTCCTTCTTAATTTCTCTAACAATTTCCTCTTTTTCATCAGTAGACAACTTTTTATAAAAAAGTAAAAAGCCAACAAGGTCACCACCTAGATACCAAAAACTCTAGTTTTGAAAACTTTTTTGGCAAAACCATAAAATATTCTAGACTTTGATAGCTTGAGCAACCCCTAAATATATATTTTTTTCAACCTGAAACTTTACACAGTTGATTTTTAGACCAAAAGGAAGTAATAAGTCAACATGCCTCATTAATTTAAACAAAAAAAAATTTACATGTTAAAATGGACCACCCTAACTATCACAACATACTATGTTTCTTTAATTTTAAGTCCAGGTAATTAAGTAAATTGGTTTGTGGAAAAGGTAAGTAAATGGACTATCGCATCATGCTAAGTTGAATTACCTGGTGAAATATTTTTGAATTTAAAAATTGTGTCATAAAAAATTTTTTATCCTGCTTATTCGGAATCCTAAAAATAAAGAAGCAACATTGCAGTTTGGTTGAATGAGTTTTTCTTGTTGCAATTGTTAAATATGAAATTTGTTTAAAATATTTTTTCTCAGTTAGTCAGGAGAAACAAAAGATTTTATAATATGAAGTCTTTTTTAGATCAAATTATTAAAGCTTACAACTCTTTTATATAAAATTTATATGCAGAATTGTTCTTTGCTTACTAGAATGTATAAGTTGTCCCAAAAATGATGACCCAAAATGATGTCCCAAAAGTTGTCCCAAAAATGATGTCCCAATAAGTTGTCCCAAAAATGATGTCCCAAAAAATATTGACAAAATGGTCTATAAATTCCAGTACAAAATTCTAATATTTTAATTAAATATTAGATTTTTTATTAGGATTTAAGATTAAAAAAATCTTTTATATAGATTCTGCAGAAAATAGTTTTAAAATAAGAATGTCTGAACAAAGTTTTAAATAATAAGTTTTATTAAGATTTTGGTTATAATCAAAAAGTTTAATTTTATTTTAGCTTAATTTGAGTTTATGATTTGTTATCAGCCTAAAAACACAAAAACATTTACTTGAGTTATTTCATGTAGTAGAAAGTAAATAAAATGCTTATGCCTAATTCATAAACTATATTTTATCGTCTTCCTTTTTTTGAATCTTTTTATAGCCAAGCTATCCAAGTGAACCATGTTCTACATATATCTGGACAGCTTGGAATAAATGCTGAGGTAATATTGCTCATTATTGTTGCTTGTTATTGCTTTGTACTTTTAATATATTTGTTTGAGTTTTTTAAGCTCACGATAAAGGGATCCTAAACCTCCAAGACAAGTTGTGTTCAAATTAAAGAGAATGATAAAAAAAAATTTTAAGCAAAATTTTTTTTTTTATCAAAACAAAATAATACCAAGAAAAACTAATTTTTTGGTTTTAGTCGAAGCTTGCATTTTCCATTTTGTTGTAGGCCAAAATTGTCTTAATAATATATGTCACAATTTACAGACTTGGTAATTTATTCAATCATGTTTTATTTCTGAGAGTTGGTACATGATGTCATTGATTATTTTGTTTGTTTACATAATTTTTTAAGCAAATAAAATGTACAAAACTCTTAGGAATAAAATGTGCTTAAATAAAGTACCAAGTCTGTAGATTGCAACTTATATTATAAAGACTATTTGGCCTACAACAAAATGAAGAAGGAAAGCTTCAACTAAAAAAAGTTAGATTTTATTGGTATGCATTTATTCTTTTGCTTTAATCAAAAACTTTTTTTTTTTTTTTTTATCATTTCTAGTATGAACACAACATGTCTCAGAGGTTTGGGATTCCTTTAAAAAACAATAAAAAATAAAATTGAAATACATGTATTCTATATTTTCAAAATTTTTATTGTTTTGTTTGCTGGAAATTTTGATAAAAAAAATGAGAAATGACTAAATATATGAAAATATAGCCAATACAAACAACTAAAGTTCACATAGTTTTGGCTATAGTGTAAATTAGTATAGCTTTGACCAAAGTGTACCCGTGTAATGTTTTGTAATGTTTTGTGTATGCTAAATCATAAAAACTACTTAAGTATATTGCATGCTTTCAGTTTATACTTATAATTGATTAACTTACTATTCAATGAGATTTTTTTTATTTTCATTAAAATTTATTATTGTTTGGGAATTTGGGAGTTTGGGCAAGCAATATCAACATAAGTAAGACATTTGCTGCGGCAAAAATTTTCTTTTCTTTGATCGTTGGAAAAAATGTTTGGATCAAAGTCAGCACATTTTAAATTATAATCTGCAAAATATATTAATACATGGCTTATTTAAATTTGCAATATTATACTTGGAAATGTAATGCGATTTTTTGGTTCAATGAAAACAGGAGTAAGAAAATGGAATCAGGAGTAAGAGAATAGCAAGCAAGATAAAAAGAAGTAACCTTAGTGAATGCAATTTTAGCAATCAATTATATATATATGGTTTACATGAAAGGTCAATAGTAAACAGTAATCCAAGAAGATGTAAAGGAGAGGACTCAGTGAGATGGTTGCCATTTATTAGTATAGGTATGTTGACAGTATTGCAATAGTTGTTTGCAGTAAATAACTGAGTTTTGTTGGAGTTTAATTTTACAAACCACTGTGAGCCCCAATATATTACATAAGTGAGATCAGATTCAAGATCAGCTGCCTTTTCTAAGTGATTAAAAGAGATTTTTTGTCAAGACAGGACATAAAGTTGAGCCATCAACAAAAAGAACTACTTTAGATATAAGGTTGTCTGGAAAATCATTAATGTAGATAAGAAATAAAACAGGAAATAACAATAACATGCATTTTGTACTCTTTTGCTTTTGTGCAAAATAATGTTAACATTTTGTACAAAATAAGGTTAACATTTTTTACAAAATAAGGTTGGCCTATTAAGTTACATTTAAAAAAAAACTTATTTTTTTGTCAGTGTTCTTTTTATTTTTTATCTTTATCTGAAGGCTTAAGGCTGGCACTCAAAAAAATTAAAAGTATGCCATAATGCTGACCCTAGCTATCTTCTGAATATATATGTATATATTCAGGAGATAGAAAGCATTTATTATTAATTAAAGTTATATTTTTACCATTCTAAATCAGATATAAGTACATTTTTTTTTCACAAAAAGAAGGGGGAAAAAAAAATGTTGAAAAATGTTAATCACTGCCATCACAAAAAGAAGGAAAACAAAAAAAAAAAAAATATATTGAAAAATGTCAATCCAAACCATCAGTCAATGTAGCAATAACTCCCTTGCATGTTTTCCTTCTATCAGGTTTTGTATGTACTGAAGCCCCACATCTCTCTATTTCATTATGACTTCAGATTGCCGATGTTAATGTGCTTTTATAGTTGTATACACATAATTTTACATTTAGACTAATGACTTTGTCAGTGATTCAGTTGAAGATCAAGCAAAACAGGTATAAATTTTATTTCTAGTTATTTTAATGCTTTTTGAGCATGTTGATTGGTATTTTAATAACATTTATTAAATAACTTTTGATTAATAAATTTGTTTTAATGTTTGAAGTATTTCAACAGGGCAACAGATTTACCTATAGGCCAGCTAGGGCGCAGCCTATGTGGTATAATTTGTAAATCTGGTTTTTATAAATCTTACTTTTTAAATCTGACAATTTATAAGTTTTTTAATAGGATTTTTTTTTTCAAATATATATATTGATAATATTTTTAATTAATAGAAATTTTTTTCAAACTTAATTTTGTTTAAACTTTTTTTAAGAATAGTATAAAAATAGAGACTAGAAAATCTATGTGTTTTTATTTGAATGGTAGATTTTATTAGGTCATGTGGCTTTTATTAGGTCATGTGGCTTAATTTGTAGCATTGTGTTGGTTATAAGTTAGTTACAAGTTTCTATTACTCTTATTGCTTAAAAATGTAATAATGGTAGAATTTAAATAAAAATTTCAAATTCACGCCAAAAGAAAAACATGCCAAATAATTTTTAAAAACAACCACCCCAGACCCCGCAATAAATAAAAATGGTTCAACGCATTCGCAAAACTGAATTTTTGACATTTACATATTTATCGGCACAAAAATAGTTTAATTGAACAATTAACTCATAACAAAATAGAAATGTTATTCTATAATGTTATTATATAATAATGTTAATATGTAATAATGTTATTATGTAGTAATGATATTATGTAATAGTGTTATTATGTAATAATGTTATTATGTAATAATGTTATTTATGTAATAATGTGATTATGTAGAAATGTTATTACCCAAAAATGTTATTATGTAATAATGTTATTGAATTTCTCAATATTCGACAGAATCATGTTTTGTCCATAACCAAATGAATAAAAAAAGATTTAATTTTTACTCTTGAAATTAACATTTTACAAATAATTGTTTTTAATTTTTAAAAAGTCAGCAAGTAATAAACTAAAAAATTTTAATATTGTAAGAAAAAAACCAAATAATAGTTAATTTTTTTACCAGCAATTTTATCTAAAATAAAGTTTTTTTTTTTTTTTTTTTTTTTTTTTTTTACAAAAATGATTTAAATACACATTGTTTATTACCACTTGTGTTATTTAAACAACTTTAAAGTTTGTTATCCACATATTTTTAATATTTACAAGAAATTTCATTTCTAAAAAAAATAAAATAAAAACTTGGAATAAAAGCCTTAGAGGTTTAAATGATAGATAATTTTGGCAAAAAAATAAAAATTGCTTAAATAAAAATAAAAAATTAAATTTTAAATTAATCAAGTTAAACCTATGCATTACATGTTTAGATATGAGAAATATACAGGAATTATCTTTTTCCGGATATTTCTGAAATTCTGGATATTTTTATAAACTTTTATTTTTCCGGATATCCAAGTTTTCTGGAAATACAATTAAAAATTTTTTTTGTCATAAAATAATTAAAACATTAAAGATATCATTCATTAATTACTCTACGCTATATTTACTGGTAAGGCATTATTTGTACAAATAGTCTTTATTTGTATGCATATATTTATTATTAAAGGGTTTTCGATGTGGCAAAACTAATTATGTTTGTTTTGAAAATAAATATCAGAAAATAAGTTTTGAGTTTATTAAAATAACCAAAACAATTTATTTATTGATATATTAACAAAAAGCATTTGAAGGGCTTAGTGCTAAAAGTACTTACTTGAGTAAATATAATTTGATCAGAGATATAACACTTCAAAATAATGATTTATTTTGTGACTTGAGTACTTTTAGCACTAAGCTCTTCATTTGTTGTTTTCCCAGTATATTTCTGTTTGAGAGGTTAATATTAATTTCATAAATCTGACTAATATTTTTCGTTGAAAAATATTTGGTTTTAATAAATCTACTTATTGCAGAGTTTTTCAAACCATTTACACAATTTCACAGACTATTGTTTTCCCCAATTAAAAAACATAAAGCAGGCCTTCTCATAGAAGGCATGCAATTGCACGCCTTATATGACCACACATATAGTTCTTTGTTTTAACAATTTGACCACAGCTTTTTACAAGTTCTGATAATAAGCGCGTTTAAAAAATGCGCTAAAAAAACAACAGCAAATTTAAATGCGATTTTTAATTTAATTGATTCCATAATTACAATTAAAATGCCACAAAATTTCCTTAGTACTTTAATGCAAATTAATAAAAGACAATCATTGAAAAAAATATTTAGATAAGAGTTTAAGGCAAAATGAGTACAGACGCTATCAAAAAATAAATACAAACCGTTTTATCATGGAAATATAATTTCTAATAAAGAAATTATTTGCTAAAAATAAAGAATTATCTTAAAACAGCCGAATCTGCCAACTATTTCTTATCCCAGGGCATGGCATACAATTTTTTTAAATGAATGTTGACTTGCGTATCTTAATTTATTGACAAACGTTAATTATCGAGATTTATGTCAAATAAATTTCAAATAATTTTTCTTCTAGTTAATAAGTTATCAAATTTTTAAAAGATGCTTGGTAAATTTATTCAATTTTTATTTTTCAAAAACTTTTTTTTGAAAATAAAAACTTGAATAAAGTACGCATTGCAAAGTGCGCGCCAAATTAATGATAAATGCACAATAAAAAAAACTTTAGAAAGTGTTTTTAACATGCAAACAAACATTATTTCACTTTATGGAAAACAAGAAAATTATAAAAAAAAGCATGCAAAATTTTATTTATAATAAATTTTTTTAGCAATTATGTTTTTAGCAATTACATTAAAAGTTTTAAACTTTTAATGTAATTGCTAAAAACATAAAAGAAACCATGCTTAAACTTTACGATCCCTTTCTTCAATGTAAGAATCAAAAATGATCAATCATTCAAAATAATTTAATCAAATCAAAGGAATCAAAAGCACGATTTCTTTCAAAGTTTTTGCAAAAACATTCATTTTAAATAAAATTATGGAAGTAGTCAGTAAAATGCGAACTGCGAACCGGTATAATGCAAACTTTTTTCCAAACCAAGACATTATATTTTGATGACCACTACAGTTATGATATTTAAAATAACTTTTGCTCATCAATTTTTTTTAATTTAAATTATATATAGTGTAATTTGATATATTTTATTTAAATTAGATTATATTTCTTTTAAATTAAATATAATTTATATTTCTGCTTGAAGTCCATAAAATATATAGTAAAATAAATAATTTAACGGTAAAAGGAAGATAAAACATATTACATCATTAACATCTATAGAACTATGGTTCGCAAAAGAGTTTGCATTTTACTTGTTTGCAGTTTGCGGTTCGCAGTTCTCATTTTACCAACTACCAATTATGGATGCTTTTGTGAGCGCATGCAAAAACCATGCTAAAAGTAACTATAACTTTCTTCTATAGCCTACTTAGTTATTTTACTTAAAAGTGATGCTATTGAAAAAAGTAATTATTTTTTGGCATTATTTTTTGCATTCTCTAAAATTGATTGTTTTTCATTTTAAATATGTGTTGTTGTTTTTATAATAAACAAAAAACTATTGATCGCAAAAATGAAAAAAAATGCTGAAGTAATGTGTTTGCTTTGAAAAATCTTAATCTAAGCCAACGTTTGCATAAGCTAAATTAAAGAAACGTGATGTTTGTTTTTCTGTCTATCTTTAAAGAAATACGCGCATTTTTTAAAAGACAGGCAGAAAGAAATGCGTACAAAGTTACTTAGGTTTTTAAACAATTTTTAAAGAAAATAAATAAAAAATGGTTATATATAAAGGCATGTCAATACTCGCAGCCCACAACATATAATTTTGCAGCCCACTCTGTATAATTTGTTATTTAGTTATTTAGCAAATTATTTATTTTTTTATATTTTGTTTTGTTCTCAACAATCACTTTCTTGAATTTTTGATTTTTATGTTGTTATTTTATATGTATTTTTTTTTTTTTTTTTTTTTTTTTTTTTTTTTTTTTTTTTTTTGTAGTGTTTGTTTTTAAAAAAGTTCATAAAGTTCATTCTTCGATGAAAAAAATTTTTTGAATTTTTTTTTGCGACCCACCTAAAATTTTAAAGTTTATTTAGCCTATGTTAGGATTTGAGTTTTACATATCAGATCAACATAAAAATTAATTGCAAAAGGGAAAACCATATATCCCATTTTTAATTTGCTTATATACATGTTTTATTCGCTTAATATACCATTCTTAATTTGTTTTTTTGTTGACGTCATTTATTAACTACAAAAGGGTTAATCACTCAAAAATAAAAAAGCCAGAACTTCCTTTTGAGATAAAACTCAGCACTTAAATTAATTATTTTGACTATTTCACCTAAAAATCTAATTTTATTTTATTTAAATAAATAAAATGGTATTCTTTTATACAAAAGACATTTATTAAAATGTTATTTGTATAAAAGAATACCTGCCAAAATATTTCATTTCAAGCACATGGAATATTCTTAATTACACAAAACCTTTATTCCCGGATTTTTCCCAGATATTTCTTAAAAATATTTTCCAGATTTTTTGTCCCGATACTATTAGGAAAAATTTTCTGGACATTTTAAAAATGACCAGGATAATCTCTAAATATATTTTGTATATAGGAAAGCTTATTTTAATCATACATGCTTTTAATGAACGCTACATCTGTCAGGTGGTAAAATCAATTATAATATAAATTAGTTAAAAGTAAATTTTTTTAAAGTAATGTTATTTCTGGTTATTTCTTTATTTCCTATACCTAAACAAATGTAAAGTATAGTCTAATTAACTACTCACATGTTTGCTAGATTACTTTGCTTAGATTAATTTTGTTTTACATTTTGTTTATTTATGTCATATTAAACAAGTTTCTTTTCTGTAGCTGTAGAATATTTTGATTATTTTGGTATTTTGATAAAAAAGTTATTTTTATAAAAATTTAAACTATATTTTTTTAATATTATCTAAATTTATTATATCTGTAAATAATAAACATATTTAATGTATTTGTAATTTATACTTTTGTCACAGCAGTTAGTAAAATAATGTGGTAATAATGGTGTGTAATTTAATGGTGTGTTAATGGTTTATTTTTTCTTTTGTTGCTTAAAATAATTTTCATACTTCAACCCTCGGAATTATGGTAAGCATTCTGCAATGCTGGCCTAACTGTCGACCTGAAGGTGTTTGAGGTCGGCATAAATTACCAACCTCGTTTCTATGTTTTATGGTCAGACCTTTGTATCAAATAATTTTTGCCGACCTTAAAAAGATTGAGGTGGGCAAATTATTGCTGACCTCATTTTTCCTAATTCCGAGGGTTGGTGCTTTGAAAGCAACTTTATATATTTTTTAAACTTCTAACAACATGGTAACTTTGAATTTCCAATGAAAAAATAATTAGTATCACTGGATTGTTTTCTTGCTTAGGGGAGCTAAACAAATATTATCACATCAAAAGCTTAGGGGAACAAATATCATCAAAATAATATTTTTTAAAATAAGCTTTATCAAAAGTTAAAAAAAAAAGTTTAATTTATTTTATTAATAGAGTTTATTAAAGTGAATTTTATTGGAAAATGAGCAAATGGTGAGAAATGTAATCATAAATGGCTAATATACTTGCCCTCAAACCAAGTGTTTTTTGCTTTGTGTGGTTTTTTAGGTTTCCAATTACTGACTTGCGACTAATGATTGGGATGATTGGGAAAATACTATTACTTTATTGAAAAGTTGTGAAAAATTATCTAACAAAATGATTTTAATGGCTTCTAACATTGAGAGACTTTAATGGCTTATTTGAGTTTGCAAAAGTGATAATACATTACATACTTAGTGAAAGAGAAAAAAACAGAAATTTTAGCAAATGTAACAAATAGACTTTTTCATAAATAAATTTCCGAAAAACTCAAAAGGAGGTTTAAGTTGTACCCTTGATAAACAAACCAAATGGCTTAATAATAAATATGTATAAGAAAATCTTCTGAAAAACATTGTGCTGCCTTTAACTGCTATAATAGAAGTTATAACATTGAATGCAGAAAACTTATTTTCCAAAATATAAAAATGAAGTTTCTCCTTAGCGCAATTTGATTAAGTGAAAAAATGGTTTAGATGGTTTTAATGTTATTGGCTCATTATATCATTGTAATCAAATAGTATTATGGTATTATTGGTGTTGATATATTAAAAAAATTAAAAAGAAAATGAGTGATGAGTTTTCTATTTTATATAAGTTAGTTTTTATGGCAAATATGCACTTCTTATTTTTTTTTTAAACTAATTTTCAAATAAATTACAATTAAAAAAAAGAAAAGATTTTAGGAAATGTTAAATTTCTTTCTTGAAATTACGTAATATTATTCAATTATGTTCATATTATTGCTATTATTAGAATATTTATATGTTATTATTAGCCTTCTAAGGGCAAACCTTAACTTAGATATTTAAAAAATGTAAGGACCCTAACATTTGGCTTGGCCTAAGGCTCCTTAAAAGATAAATCTAACTTTGCACTTCAAATGTTTTATAATTGTATATAATACTTTAATATAATATTGTTTATATTGTATACTTCAGTAAAATGTTATATAACTTTTTAAATTTTATTACCGTTTTTAATACCGTAAATTTTTTTTATATTTCAATATTTTTTATGAAATATGTATTATTTAGGCTTTGACTAATATTGGTTACATACTTGATGCTGCTGGCTCATCATTTGATAAGGGTAATAAATGTAATTGAATAATTTCAACTTGTTTCTCCGCGCATCAACTTGTTTCTCCGCGCAGCGGCCTTGTTTGTCAAGGTTCGTGTTTCGGAGTTATAGAGTTGAAAGGGTTATAACCACTACTAAGTAGCTTCCTCGTCTGTAGTGGCCTTCTTGGCCTTGAGAAGGTGAATAACAAAAAAAAAAAAATTTAAATTTAGTTAACTATTTTTATTTTGCAGTCATAAAAATAATATTTTTTAAAGTTGTTTTCATTACATGTAATAATGCTTTTATGAGATTTCCATTTTAAGCATTTGTGTAAAAGTTGCATTCATTTAGTGTTTAAGTCCTATCTAGTTTAGTACTTCAAATGTTTGTATGATATATGAAATTTATTGAGACAACTGTTTGTATGATATATAAAATTTATTGAGACTACTGTTCTTCTTGTATAAATAATGCATTCACTTTTTTAGTGATTGAGACAACTGTCCTTCTTGCTGATATTAATGATTTTGCAAAAGTAAATGAAATTTATGCCAGTTGTAAGTTAGTTTAATGAAATGTTTTTTGGGATGTTTAATTCATTTAGGATAAATTTTATATCATTTTTAATTTGAATATATTTTTTTTAAGTTTTTAAAGTCCCTTATCCTGCACGTGCTGCATATCAATGTGCAAACCTGCCAAAGGTACAAAGAATTATTTAATTTTTTAAGATTAAAAGATAAATTAATAGTTAATAGTGTTTTGATTTTTTTATACATTGTTTTGAATTTGTGTTTCATTGTACTTTGTGAATGCAGTTGTAAGTATGTAAATTGTAAATACAGTTTAACCAGGCTTGGTCGGGAAGCGGGAGCGATCGCTCTCGAATACTGACCACGGAAATTATATTTAGTTGCGTAAAACTGGCCAGGTTTTTTAGTCGTTTTGAGAACATTTAAGTTTATGTACGAAACAAAAAATTTTTGTTTTACGGACATACATGGAAACATAAAAAACTTGAATGTTCTCAAAACATCTTTGTGCGAAAGAATAAAAAGAATGTTTGCAAACACTAAAAACCCGCCAAATTAACGAACAAACTAATTCTATTGGTTCAAAAAATACGCTGATTAAGTGAAATAAAGTTCTAGAGTATTCTGTTAAAATGTTTTAGAAATTGTATTATTCACGATTTGTTACGTTTTGAGGTTTTTAGCATTGTTTTAAGAATTTATATTATTTGTTTACGAAAATAAATGTTTTAAATATATATTAGTTAAATTGTTAAAATTTTCAAAGTTTATTATAAATCATAGATTTCATTAGTATATTCTTATTTTTATTTTAAAAGAGATTGTATTCTTTATGTAAATGTAATTTTGTGTATTTATTTTTTATCGTAATGTATCTTTTAAAGCAATTTTTATGATTTAAACAAAGACTTACAAAAATAATTGTGTTTTTAATGAAGTTTTAATCGTTAAAGTTAATAAAACTAATTATGTAACAAACATATAAGAAGTTTCTGGTTACCAAACACAAACAACGCATACAAAGTAACTCGCGGATGAACAAGCATCGCGCCTGAGGTCACGACAGAACACAAATATATATAGCAAATAATTAGATATAAAGAAAAATTTCTAGATATTGATTTACTAACTCTAATTATTTTTGCTTAAGTTGCCATTCTTAAAACTCGTTATACTTTTTTCTGCTTTAAACACTAATTAAAATTTAAAAGCCCACTCACTAAACATCATCAGCGATATTGTGAAGCAGTTTCGCTTCCTGGTCATTAAGTATTTTTAACCTTTTTAGTTGATTTCTATCTTGATAATTTAATTCTTATAGTAATTCAATTATTTAATTATTTCATTTGTTTATCTTACTAAGAAGAATCGCTTTAAATATGTTAAACTTTTCAAACTACGCGAAACATAAAATAGGTATTGAAAAAATTAACTTTTTTATTTATAAAATAAATTAAGCTTAAGTAAAACTAAAACTTGCAAACTTAGTTAAATAAAGAATATTTGTTTTCCTTTTAAACAATCTTTTAAGTTGACGGTTGTATGTTTCTATAAAAAGTTGATGTTTCTATAAAAAACATTGCTTAATTTTATAAAAAAAATTATAAAAGAGCGATGTTTCGAAAATATTTGTTTTAAATGTAATTTATTTAGCTTTAAATTTTTTCGCGTTTAAAGATATTTTATTTGCCTACTTTTTTTTTTTTTGTAATTGTCTCTCATTGGTCCAATTAATCTTCGTCGCTTTTTTTTTTTTGCTTTTTAAAATGTTCTCAAAACGACTAAAAAATCTGGCCAGCTTTTCGCAACTAAATATTATTTACGTGGTCAGCAATCGAGAGCGATCGCTCCCGCTTCCCGACCAAGCCTGTTTAACAATTATTAATACATAATCGTTTGAACAAAAATTTTTACCCATTTTAAATTAATATAATTATTCTGTTATTTTTTACATGTTGCTCTATGGGTTGTTCATGTCACTCAAATAAACATTGGCAGCTACAAATATCTTTATTTATTTTTAATCTATAAAATCATTTACTCTTTACAAACTTAATATTATAGTCTCTGGAATATAATATTCAGTGTTGGTTGAAACTAAAACTTTATTATTTTGTACCAATACTAAACAAGATACCTAGTTTTCTGTACCAATTTAGGTATCAAAACAAAACTGTTAAAAATATAAAGCTTTGTGTTTTGTACAATTTTTAATGCTAAATAAGTATCTGAACAAAGTTTCGGAGAATAAACTTTTATTCCAGTAATTAACTTTTTGGAGTTAGATTGGCTTTAGCTTTAATAACTTCTGCAAATCAATTTTGCATTAACTCAACTAACTTTTTTTGTTGTGTCTTGATTAATTTGAGTCCAAGCTTTTTCAAGCATGATCTTTAACTCTTCTTTTTTTTTTGTTGAGAAAACATGTGCCACTTTTTTATTCTGATTTGAAGTAAAATGAAAAAGTTGTCCAGCTTTGGCATTTCCTAACCTAAAGGACAATTTTGATAATTTTTTTTTTGATGTTCAACTGATTTTTTCTGATGTTCCACAGATGTTCAATTAGATTTTAATTCCCTTAATAAACTCTTGTTTTCCTGTTTGGTTCTAAGACATCAATCTTCACACCACAACATTTTCAGAATAACAAAAGTATATTTCTTAGCAAATGCAAGACTTTGGTCTTAACAAGTTTTTGAAAGGAATAGTTTCTTGCATAGAATTAGATTTTGAATAGTAAATGGGCTAACTTGTATTATAAAGATTTCTTCAAGAAGACTTGATCCTTTTGGTGCTGATAAAAATTAATTTTTTGCACTATTTCAACACTTTGTCAATCAGTTCTAGATGTTGCTTACTCCAACTCTTAATTTTGGCTAATTTTTTACATATCCGAATAATTAGTACTTTGTTAAGTCAGTAATTATTTTGAGTTTCTCAATGAAATCTATGGTAAATTAAATGGGTACAAAATATCAATTAGTTATTACTGGATACTCATTAAATCAGGCTTGGTTGAGAAGCAGGTGCAATCGTTCTCTAATCAAGACAACGTGAATTATGTTTAGTTGCGACAACTTGGCCATAGCTTTTTAGATGTTTTGAGAACATTCAAATTTATGTATGTTTCCATGTATGTCCAAAATGTTTTAACACATTAAAACAATTAAATTTGTAAACAATCTTTTGTAATCAAATGTTTTTTTATTTAAGCACTTTAAAACTAAGCAATGATTTACTTTTATGATCGTTTATAAAAAGAAAATTTTTAATTTTATTTTTCAAATTATATAAAGTTAAGTTTTATTAAAAATTATATAAATAATTTTATATATATATATATATATATATATATATATATATATATATATATATATATATATATATATATATATATATATTAATTTAAAAGAAAAAAAAAAGTACTGGGCTGCTATAGCTGAACGTTACAACGTCTCAGCTTGTGGATAAGATCCAGGCAGTTATATATATATATGTGTGTATATATAATATATACACACATATATACAGACTAAATTTTTATTCTTTAAATCTTTTAAAAATATTTGTACAATTGATTTTATAAAAATAAGACTTTCAACAACAACTGTATTTTCAATATATTCTAATAAATAATAATCATCAAAGTTAATAAAATTAATAATAAAATAAAAATAAAAGAACTTACAGGCAACAAAACATGAACATGCATATATACATAGTGAATTAGGAATCTATGAAGATCCATACAGAATACAAACATGCCAATATATTAAAAAGCCCACTCACTAAAAATCATCAGCAGTATTGTGAAACAGTTCCGCTTCCTCTTTATAAATATATTTTACTTTTTTAATTTAACCATAAACATTTGCTTTCTAATAATTTGATGCAATAACAACGTGCTTCTAGTTTGCAAAATACAAAATAAAATTTTCTTAGAATGTAATATGTCCTTTATATATTAATTTATAATATATATTATAGTATAATAAACTAATGGACTTTAAAGTAAAATATAAATTTATTAAATGTATACATAGTCTGTAGTTTGGATACTGATCATAATACACAACTGTTTCTAGAGTCTGGCACATTTTTTTAAACATTTTAAAGACACTGCTAAAAGAAAAGATTGTTATAATATTTTGTATAGTAACACAAAAATTTAATTATTTCTTTTGTTTATTTATTATATATGTTAAAAAAAATTGTTTTAAATATTTTTAACTTTGAAAACTTCACAAAGCATGAAATGGTTATAAAAATATATTTACTTTTTTATTATATAGCTCAACTTATTAGAATCTTGTTAAAATAAAACATAAATACTTATATAAGGAACTATATTATACTCTTTGATAAATTGAAGAACGTTTGTTTCTTTAATAAACTATCACTAATAGTAAGTTTTAATAGTAAGTAATAGTTACTTTTTATAAAAGTGTCGCTTAATTTTATTAAAAAGTTATAAAAGAGAGAAATTTAGAAATAATTTGTTTTAAATGTAATTTATTAAGTTTTTTTCTTCATTAAGAATTCATTTATTTTTTTAATTAATTTTTTTAGTAGTTGTCTCCTGTCAAATTAAGTTTTTTTTTGTGCTTTTTGAAATGTTCTCAAAGCATCTAAAATGCTGGGGCCATGTTTTCACAACTAAATTTTATATGTGTAGTCAGGTACAGAGTTCCATCGCACTCGCTTCCCAACCAAGCCTGCATCTTGAGTCTAACAACCTACTCTCTGGCAATCGATATGGTTTTCAATCTTCTGTTTCTACAGCTGAATTGCTAATTGCTGTTGCTTGCTGACTGAAAGATTTTATCATGCATTAGATGGAGTCAGTAAGGTAAGGGCTCTTGATATGTCCAAAGCTTTCAATAAAGTTTGACATTCTGATCTTTTCTTGCTTGAATATGCTTCATAAGTTTGCTTCATATGGTGTATCTGGGAAAGTTTATGATGTTATCAAATTGTTTTTTTCTTACCAGTTTATTAAAGTTATTATCGAAGGTTCTTCATTTCCAGTAATTTCTAGGGTACCTCAAGCTTCTAATCTTTGTTCAGTATTATTTCTTATCTTAATGATCTTCCTAAAAATCTTACATCTATAGTTACTTTGTTTACAAAAGATTCAAGTTTATACTCCTGTCAAAAAGTCTTCTTTTCTT